CTACTACTACTACTACTAATACTACTAATAATAATACTACTACTAATAACAGTATTAATAATACTAATAATATTAATAATACTAATACTAATAATAATAATAATAATATCAATACTAATAATAAGAATAGTAATAATAATAATAATAATAATAATAATAATAATAATAATAATAATAATAATAATAATAATAATAATAATAATAAAAGTAATCGACGCGGTGATCGTCGCGATGGAGGCGATGCCTATGAAGGGCACCGTGGTCATGATCCTGGGCCACGCTCTGCAGGACGACGGCGTGGTCGCGGTCTCGGTGGTGCACCCGCGGGCGAGGGGGCGGATTCGTTGCACGGAGTTGCGGGCCCGCGGTCTGCAGGCGACGGAGGCCCCGTGGCGAGGGTGCTTCGGCTCCATGGCATGCCTCAGGAGATGCCGCCTTTCCCCGCCTTCCTGCACAGCATGGGCGCCGATGTTTGTGTACCACAGCTGACCAGCTCGAGATGGAACATGCTGCTGTGTCTGCGCTCTGCACAGATGTGGGCACGCGCTGCGGATGCCGCTCCTCGTTCTGGGGAGAGTGCCAGTGCAGCTGCAGAAGTTCTTCGTCGCCAGAGCGGTGTGCATCCAGGTGGAGCGCCCGATCTCCCTCGCCCTTGTGGTGGCGGTGCTTCTCCTGAGTCGTCGGCTCACGGGCTTCACAGCATACGGTTGCATTTTCTGTCGTGAAAATAGCTGGGGGTTGGACAGGGTGGTTGGGTTCTGTGGTCGTGTGGAGACGCGACATGGCGATGATCTTCATGGCGAGATGGTGCTGAGTGTTGGAGTGCGCATCTCGAAGCGTGGAGTCTTTTTATCAGGTGGAACCGTACCCCTTCGCACGACACCTTGGCCGGGGTTACAGGAGAGACCTGGGGGTCGAGGCCGAGTGCCCGAGCATCCCCTCGCTTGAAGACGCACGGCAGCATCTACAGCCCTCCGGAGTCAGACCTGCGCGCTTTTTTTCTGTCGCCGGCCTCGTGCGACGGGCGAGAGGTTTGGGGCCGCGGGTCGCCGCCGCCCTCGCGGGGACATATGGCCTCGGGAGCCCGGTGGTGGGCAGCCTCCCGTGTGGTGTCGGCGTGCCTGCTCCATGCTGCTCCCGATCTCGCGGCGCGTGAGGTTCCTGTGGGCGTCGGAGCTTGCGGAAGGCGCGGAGGATCCTGAGCATCCGGCCTTCACAGACCCCCCGGGTCGCGCCGGAAAGGAGGCGCGAGAGAGGCCCTCGGGCGCGCCGGAAAGGAGGCGCGAGAGGACTGCCGGAGGCATGGTCGGGAGCTCGAGTGGGGCGTCGCGTGAGGGGGGGTCATAAAGTGGATGGGGTGGCGAGGGTGGTCCGAGAAGGTGCCCGAACGGTACCCAAACGAGCCCCCTGGAGCTCCGGAGGGGCCCGAAAGGTGCACGAAAGGGGGCCGGTTCTGACCCCCCCATTTCTGACCCCCCCATAAGTTTAAGTCCCCCCCGATGGAGCTATTCCTGCGAAGACACGCGAGGGTCATGGAGGGAGCAGCTATCGGACGTGTTGGCCGTGTCGTGGGAGTCGTCCCAAAGGAGGGGCAGGAGCGCTTCGGTTTGCACGTGGATGACACCGAGATGCTGGTGTCGTCTTTTGATGGTCGTGACTGCGGCAACCCCGGAGTTTCTCGGGAACAGTAAGCTGCGCAAGAGACAGGGTGCGATCAACAATGATACGGTCTTCAGTCAAACATGTTCGCCTTCCTGCATCGGTGGGTCTGTATATCCCTCCATCTATGTGTATGATTAAACATGCTCCGCTTCTGGCAGTGGTGGGATCCTCATACATATATATATATATATATAGATATGCTGACATTGTCCTACTTGTTGCTCTGTTGGATGCATCTTGAAACAAGATGCCAAACATGTTCGCCTGCGAGCACTGGTGGGTGCCAACTGATCGATATCAAAGTGTTCGCATGCCTGCATTTGTGAGTGTCCCTTGAGGTATTTCTAGCATGTTCGCCTACGTGTGTTGGTGGGTGTCTCTTGTTATATCCCAAACAGGTTCGCCTTCCTGTGTTGGCCAGTGCCTCTTGATATCTGTCAAACATATTCGCCAACCGCCTTTGGATGGTTTCTGTGGCATTTCCCGAACATGTTCATCTTCCTGCGCTGGTAGGAATTTGAAGATACATATATCCTGTTCTTCGCGTTCGCGGCGGTTCCCTCCCCCGAAAACAAAACTCTTCCTCCTTCCCCCTCCTCCCTCCTCCCTCCCTCCCCCCGCGCGCCGAAACGCCGAGGGTAACGTTTTGCGGGCGTTTTTCGGCAGCCTTCGGTAGCTTGCTCGAAGACCCCCAGAGGTCTGAGGAGGGGGTGGGAGGTGGTCGACGATGGGGAGGACGAGGAGGACGAGGAGGGCGAGGAGGACGAGTAGGGGAAGGGACAGCAGTGGGAGAAGGGGAAGGAGACTGATGAGAGTTTGCAGGCGGAGGCGAAGGCAGAGGCAGGTTGTGGAAGGGGAGGGGAGGGAAGGAGGGTAAACGGGGGAGGAGAGGAAAGGGGCGTCGCAGACCGAAGGAGAATGACACGAAGAAGCAGTTGCATGATTATGCACTTGTGGAGATTCCGCGCGGATTTTTTGGATCGGCGCGCCAGGTGGGGGGTGCCAGCGCCGATCCGAGGCGCCCGCGGGGCTCTCCGAGAGCTTCTGTCTGGGCTGTCTTTTTAGTTTCTCCTGCTGGAGTGGGGCAGCGGCGGTTCGGGGAGCCTGGGAGGCTCGGAGCGCCAGCGCCTGCGCCCCCCTCGACCTCCTCCTCCTCCTCCTCCTCCTCCTCCTCCTCCTCCTCCTCCTCCTCCTCCTCCTCCTCCTCCTCCTCTCCTCCTCCTCCTCCTCCTCCTCCTCCTCTCCTCCTCCTCCTCCTCCTCCTCCTCCTCCTCCTCCTCCTCCTCCTCCTCCTCCTCCTCCCTCCTCCCCACTTGCCCTCCTCCACCTCCCTCCTCTCGGAGTCTGGCCACCGGGGGAGGGGCCTCGTCTGCGGGAGACTGCCCGGCCAGCGCGCCGTCGCCGTCCGGCGGCCCCGCCGCCTCTCGTGCTCCCCCCTTCGTGCTGCCGGCGATGCGCTGCCGCCGACTTTCTCTCGCGTCGGAGGGCGAAAGCCCACCCCCACCAGGGGGCCACATGCGAACCCTACCCCTACCCCCCACGATTTCTGAGGGGGAGGGTGGGGTTCACTTCGCTCGGGAGGTTCCGAGCGAAGTGAACCCCACACTCCCTCCTCTGAAATCGTGGGGGGTAGGGGTAGAGCTCGCATGTGGCCCCCTACCCTCGCATCGGAAGGCGAAAACGCACCCCCACTCCCAGTCCCGACGCCCATCCCCGAGCCTGCGGTTCCAGGGGTCGGGACCAGGGGTGGGGGATGGGTGTTTTCCATTCCCGGGCCCCAGAAGACCACTCCCGCCCCCAGTCCCGAGCCCCTGGATCGCGGGTTCGCGGATGGGGTCGGGACTGGGGGGTGGGGGTGGGTCTTCGCCTCCTCATCGCGGGTCGCAGCAAGCTGCGCGATCAGAAGCCTCCGCGCTTCTGCGTGGATTGCAGGGCCGTCGCTGGACCACCCCCTCCCCACATTCGTTCTCCAGCGCGCAAAGCGCGCAAAGTCCTCCTCCTCCTCCTCCTCCTGCTCCTCCTCCTCCTCCTCCTCCTCCTCCTCCTCCTCCTCCTCCTCCTCCTCCTCCTCCTCCTCCTCCTCCTCCTCCTCCTCCTCCCCCTCCCCACACTCGTTCTCCAGCGCGCACAGCGCGCCGGGGGCGTGGGCGGCGCCAGAGGAGGCCGCCGGGAGGTGTGGGGAGGGGGGAGGCGCGTCCAGTGCCGACCCAGGAATCAGGAAGGGAAGAAACATACAGACACAATTAATCCTCGATTCCCCAGAAAATATAGGAAAATATGGGAATTGGGGGGGGGGAAGACAGAAACCCAGAACATATGGGAAAATATGGGGAATCTGTTTATTTGTGTGTATTTATTTGTGTGTCCCAGGGCCCCTTCAAAGAGGTCCACGCGGACCTTCGACAGATCATCGTCGTGTTCTTTTGTTCTCTGCCCGCCCTTCTGCTCTTTCCCTCCTCCCCCTTCTCGCCCAAAACGATGAGGCCCAGGTCTGTGAGCACCACCCGGCTTGGCCGCAACCGCTGGAGTCGCGACCGTTGCACACGGGGGGCAGGGTTCCTCTCCTTATGCTGCTCTCATCGTACTTAAGGACCACATCCCGGAAATAATTTCGAGCACCCGGAGAAGTGTCGAGAGAGTGCCGAACCATTGTCGAAACAGTGTCGGACGAGTGTCTCCCAGGGCCCGACACGTGAAAACGCTCGAGATTCGGTACTTTCCTGGTGCTCGAAATTCCTTCTGGCGATCAAGGCTAAAGTAGGTTGGAACATCATGATCCTCTGCGTCCGCCGAACGTTCTTGCTGCGCCTCCGCGCTCGTCTGGAGGCTGCCCCCTCGGTTCCTCGGCTTCGATTGGCTTCGGTTGCCGTGTCGGTTCGGCAGGTCTTCGACCGTACAGCCGACCCGCAGAGTAAGGATAGGCATCCCTCCCAAGGAAACCCTTGCATCCTGGCTTCCTGGGTCCATCCTTGGACACTTTTGTTGGCCGCGCCCCGCTCGAAACGCTTCGAAATGGGCGTCCAAGGGCCTTGCATCCTTATCGCGCATCCTTACTCCGCGCGTCGACCGTGGTGTTGCCGCAGACAGCGTGTCGTGGCGCCAGCGTCGCGGAGCGGATTTCGCTCGGAAGACAATGGGATGGGCCCGGATTGTCCTGGAGGATGTCGTTCCGGATTTCGAAGTGATGGTCAGGAATGAAGACTCAGAACAATCCACGTGATGTTCACTTTGGTTTTCGCTCGCCGTGTCGGGGTTTCGAAGTGACAGGAATCCACGGACAAATCCGCTGCAGCACGTGCGCAGGGTCGGTACTCCCGTCAGCTCGGCCGTCGCGGCAGGCGAGGAAGCTCGTGGACGCCATCCGCAAGAGGAAGGGGCTGCCGACGGACGAGAAGGCGCCCCTCGCGGGTGGGCTGACGGCCGGGCCGATCGATGGCATCGTGGGGGGTCGTCGTCGTCGTCGTCGTCGTCGTCGTCGTCGTCGTCGTCGTCGTCGTCGTCGTCGTCGTCGTCGTCGTCCTCGTCCTCGTCGTCGTCGTCGTCGTCGTCGTCGTCGTAGTCGTCGACGTGCCAGAACGCTCTCGGAGCGTGCTGGAGCGCTCCGGAGCGGTCGCGCCGTCCGATGCATCCTGCATGCTCGCCAGCTCTCAGAGAGCCCTGGTCTTTTCCCATCCGAAGCTATGTCTTCTCATCCTGCCTTCGTCTTACTTGTGCCCGTCCTCCATCCCTCCTCTGCTAGATGGACAAAGAACGGGGTCCCTTCATTCTCGATCCCGTGGTCGGAAAGAGCGCTACTCTCCCTCTCCTCGGGCCGGCACTGGCGTCGGCGGCGGCTGGCGTCGGTGGCGGGGGTGCTGGTGATGGTGGTAGTGGCGGTGGTGGTGGTGGTGATGAGATTTGTGGTGGTTGTGGTGGTGGTGGTGGTGGGTTTTGCTGGTAGTCGTGGTGGTTTTGGCGGTGGTGGTGGTGTTGGTGTGGTAGTTTATGGTGTTGGTGGTGGTAGTAGTGGTGGTGGGTTGTTGTATTGGTGGTGGTGGTGGTGAGCTGATGTGGTGGTGGTGGTGGTGGCGGTGGTGGTGGTGGTTGTGTGGTGGTTGTGTGGTGGTTTGGTGTCGGTGGTGGTGGGTTGAGGTGGTGATGGTGGTGGTCGTGGTGGTGGCGGTGGTGGTGATGGTGGCGTGGTGGTTTGTGGTGGTGGTGGTGTTGATGGTGGGTTGTGGTGCTGGTGGTGGTGGTGGTGCTGCTGGTAGTGGTGCTGGTGGTGGTGGTGGGTGGTGGTTGTGGTGGTTGTGGTGGTGGTGGTGTGGTGGTTTGTGGTGGTGGTGTTGGTAGTGGGTTGTAGTGATGGTGTTGGTTGTGGGGGTGGTGGTGATGGTGGTGGTAATGGTGTGGTGGTTTGTGGTGGTGGTGGTGGTGGCGGGTGTGGTGGGTTGTGGTGGGTTGTGGTGGATTGTGGTGGTGCTGGTGGTGGCGTTTTTGGTGGTGGTTGTGGTGGTGGTGAGGTGGTTTGTGGTGATGGTGGTGGTTGTGGTGATGGTGGGTTGTGGTGGTGATTGTGGTGGTTGTGGTGGTGGCGGTGGTGGTGGTGGTGGTGGTATGGTGGTCTGTGGCGGTGGTGGTGGTGGTGGTGGTGGTGGTGTGGCCTTCGGCTCTTCCCGCCACTGTGTTTTGGCAAAGGGTCAGAGTTCTAATGGATGCCTCTTGAGGTCTCGTCAGAAGGGTCTCGGGGGCGTCTGAGGAGCGTGCGAGGGCTCGATATGGCAACTTGTGTGTTGCCTCTGCGGATCCGTAGCCATTTTGGCTCAAGGTTCGGCTCAGGTCCTCTCAGCCAGCGCGCGCGCGGGGGCGCGTCCGCTGCGATTGGGGGCCGGGGCTGGGCCCAGGCGAGGCCGCGACGGCGGCCCGCGAGCCACGCACAGGCAGCCCAGCAGGGCACCGGCGGCAGCGGCGGGCGCGCGGGCAGGCGCGCGTGCTGGTGCGGCTTGGCCAGGCGGCCGGCCTGCTGCAGCAACACCACAGCCGCCAGATGCCCCCCCGCCACGCGCGCGGGCAGCAGGCTCCGGGCGGGGGGCCATGCCGCTCCGACCGGGAGACGCTGGCGGCGCTGCGGGCGCTGCTCGGCGCCGGGGCGGCGGGTGCGGCTGCTGGGGATGGTTCGAGCAGGCGGCAGCGGCGGCCGCCGGAGCGGCAGCAGCAGCAGCCGCGCGGTGGGGCGGGTGCTCGGGATGGGGACGTTGCCAAGCGGCTGGCCGGCCCACGGCAACCAATGTGGAGCTGCCCATGCGGGGTGGCCGACAACTGGGCGTGCCGCGCGGCCTGCCGGGGCTGCGGTCGCCGTGCGCCCCGGTCGGACGTGCCCTCCGTGTCGGTTATGCGGGAGGCCCTGTGACTCATCACTCCTTAAAATAAAGCTCGTGTATGTAAGTATATGCAAGTCTTAAAATAAGGCTCATTGTCGTATATTGTGTGTAAACGCACGCGTGTGTCAGAATTCATTGAAAAACGTTAGCTGCGCGAGGGTTGAGATCAAGTTTTCGGGGGCGCCCGAATACCCAGCAGTGTTTTTAGTGTAACGCTATCGCGACCACCGCATCCACCACCGTTCTCACTGCACGCTCCACCTCCACGATCACCTCCACCATATCCTCCAGCTCTCCTCACCGTTCGTTTGAATGTATTCGGCATTGAATGCCACATTGCGCCACCACCGCCACCTCAAACAAACATTGACACCGTCAAACATAACGAGCGCTGCAGGGCCTGTCGGTTTCGAACAGTAGGTTGGCTACCGCTGACGCGGCCCGTATTCCATAGCTGTTTTGACTCGATATAGGTTTGCTGCACAGACCCCTGAACGAGATGGCGTCTAAGCGCCCGCGATGCGATGGTGATTGCTTAGAGGAGACAATCAAGAAACAATGCATCAAACACGGAGCTAGCTTTCTCAAGTATTCGGAGACACCGAAAGCGACCAAGGCAGAATTCAGCAGGGAGGCGATGACTCGCAGCAAAGATTTTCTCATTGACATGCGAGGGTTGTCTCCCAACTTGGCGTTCAAGAAATCAGATATCAACAGTGCTCTCAAGAAGATAATCAAGGCAATGACTGACCCTAAGAAGCCAGCGTGGAAGATGTCACAGTCCGAGAAGGATGACTGGATCGAAACGATGACCAACCGAACGTACAACCTCATATGCCACGCTGGCAAGGCCGTCAGGGACAACAGGACGTGGATCATCGAGCTGTTGGGCGACGCGCCAGACCAAGGCGACGACGCCGATGACGACGAGGACGCCGCCCACGGCGAGGGAGACTACGACGAGGAAGGCGGAGAGGAGGAGACCCCGAAGGTGTCGGACGAAGTGGTCGATCCAGACTCTGCGACGGCAGCTCCGAGCGCGACTGATCGGGACAGCCAGTGGGAGTACTCGTGGTCCAGCGAACTCATGCTCGGCAACAGGGTCGGCATTGGCCCACACAACAAGGGCGTCGAAGAGGTGTCGCTCCCCATCCACATCGACGAGGGCACCAATCTAGAGGAGCTGGTCGAGGCAAAATGGAGGGATGGCACGACGCACAGGTTCCGCATCTCAGTGGCGGAGTTCACCATCGGCAAGTCTGGCAGCCGCGCTCGCAGTATTGATGCGTTGTGGACTGGCGAGCACTCGGCGACGCACAACGTGTTGACGTTGCAGCAGCGCACCGATCGCATGCAGCTCCTTTCTTTGTACGACCAGGGTGCGCAGATCTTGCAGGTACCGCTGTACAAGTTCGGGGAATTGCCGATGCCCCAGCCTGGTCAAGTTCCCAATGATGATCCGACCTTACGGAAAGCAGTTGACTTCATGCTGCCGTTCTGCAAGATGTGGGAGTCCGACAAGGTGCAGGACAAGAAGGAGTTGAAGAGGCTGAAGGACGAGGCTGAGAAGGGCCAGCAGCTACCTCAGCAGTGCCCTCCAGCATGCAGGAACGTCAAGGGCGCCAAGGACGTGCTGAAACGCCCAGCCGCCGCGCCCGCGGCGCTGAAGCGCCCAGCTGGCGCCGCCGATGCACCACTGGCCTCGGGGGGCGTGTCGGTCGCCGCGGACGGCGGCGGCGCTGTCCAGGAGAAGGTGGATATCGCCGAGCCCGCGGCGAAGAAGGCGAAGGCAAAGGCAACCCCCAAGGCTGCAGCGGCCAAGTCGGGGTCGATGGCGGTGGCGGCCAGCAGCCCAGTGAAACTGTCAGTGAGTGAGCATGTGACTGGCTCTACAGCGTCGGGCTCGAGAGCCACGGCGGGCGCTCCTGCTGCCGCTCCGAAGCGCTGGGCGCGCGGGGCCCTTAACAGGGGGGCCACGCGTGATTTTTCTTTCCAGCCAATTCCCGACCTCTTGGATGACGATGAGGTTGCCGCACTTGCCATGGTGCCGCCACGCACGGGATTCTCGGACTCAGATTGAACAGCCAGCCCCGTGCAGCAAGCCAGCACTTGAGCCGAGACAGCATACATCGCTTGCAGTCGCATGTAGCCGATGCGTCTTGAAACCACTATCGCTAGAGGAGCACGTCACCATCGCCATCGCCATCACCGTCGCCACCATCATCATTATCATCACCACCACTGTAATGATTGAGGCTAGCATCATCGTCGTCATAGCCACCACCACCCCTAGCAAATCCCGTTTCGCCCGTGGCTGTTTCGGGCGAAACGCCGACGCACGATCAGGCGAAGTCATGGGCATCGCCAGGGGGGGGGGTTCAAGGACACGTCGGGGGGTCGAGTCGATTCCGCGTTGGATCGAAGATGGCTATTGTAGTTTGCAGAGTGATCCAGCTTGAACCGCTCGCACGTACTCACACACGATAAGGTTGAGTGGGTGTATGGGTGACGATCCCCCCTTCTTCGCCACATTATTCACTACTTCCTGCTCCTCCTCCCACTGCATAGACATTGTGGCTCGACGCCGAGCGCTGCAAGCGCTTGCGTACTGGGCCTCGCAAGTTCCGTCAGCCGTGCTTCGAGAATGGAGATGGTCATCCTGGACAACAAGATCGACGTGACCGACGCCGAGGCGACCTGCGGCGCCCAGGCTTCGGGCAGCGGCCAGGCGAATACGCCGAGTGGTGTGAGCCACGGCGCGTCGGGCGACGCTTGCCCGCACGGATCGCCGCAGTTGGGAGGCAAGTTTGTCGGGAAGGCGTTCGAGGGCGTCAATGCTGACGACATTCGCAGCTACTTGCATAAGATCGACCAGTGCCGAGTGAGCGAGGCCAACAACGATGAGTTCGAGCGGCTCATCTGCAGCGTCATCTCAAGTTCAGCACCGCCGCAGCCGCCAGTGACACCCAGCAAGAGGGAGGCTGATCTGACCAATGCAGTCAATACTGGGTCGATCCCTTCACGGTCTGCGCTCG